TGTCACAGGATACAAGTGATTACACAACTAAAACCAATCTTACTGGTTGATAGGTCTCAGCACCACACTGGTCACACGTGTAAGTAGCGACAGCCATCATTGGTTTGACCTCAGTGGCACGGGTCACTATTCCTCGGACAGTCACCAGATTTCCGATGCTGTCCGCTCGCACATCACGCACCACTTTGGGTTTGGTAGTGCTGGGAGGCTTGAAGTACAGCTCACTGTGGATGGAAGATAAAGGTAATGAGAAAAGGTATCAGAATGAAAACAGACTTTTTCAAAGACTACAACTGGTGTGATCTAAAATATGTAGACAAGACTTCAACTCTGATTCAACTTACAATCTCCTCATGAGTTCAGGTGGGTATTGGTTACGAGGGTCTCGAGTGTCCGCAGGGTCGCGGCCCCTCTGTTCCATCATCAGCCTGTGCTCAATGTACACGTCCAAAGAGTCCTTGGCCACAATCTGAATATAACAAGATATATATAATAAACAGGTGTGTAATATGTGTATTAATGCTGGAGGTGAACCACCGTACATGCAAAATGTACATATGAAACCTTCATACTACAGCTTATCAGACTGCTTTAACTTTGTTTGCAACACATACAAGATCAACTGTGCAAATAAACGTACATCTTTTTCTTTGTACTCCGGCAGCAGCTCGTGGACAGCATCAGCAAACAGGCCCGTGTAGCGCTTTGCATTCTCACAGATGCTCTCAACCAGCTCGGGGTCTTCTTCAGCCACATCGTCCAGTTCCACGTAGACAGACACCTTCTCCCGGTGGGCCAGCGCCACCTGTACACACAGACAAGTAATTAGACGAGCCACTTAATTACACGACCTTGTCTGCACAGATAACACAACAATGACAGCGCTACACTTTGACAAACAGCTGCGGTGGTGCATCCAGGTACACGTTTATAATGTGGTAAACCTGTGCACTGGCCTACACATTTTACAAACAGTGGGGGCCTTTCCTACCTTGTATTTAGTCATTTTAATTGTTTTTATAGGGGCATTGTTGAGCTTAGCAGTTGCATTAGATTAATACATCTGAATAAAACATGTACTAGTTGCATGAACCAGCAATCATTTCAAATGATTCTTGGGTAGCTTCCTAACCCTTAACCCACAGGGGGCACACCAAGTTCTTACTTAAATAAATAAAATAAGTTGTAAAACATGCAAACACACACTTCAGGTGTTTCAACTTTAAGATATCTGGTTTAGCAACTAATCACTGAAATTACTGTCCAAAAGAGGACTAAAATTACTATTAAAGAAGCCCAAAGATAACTGTCCATGTTTAATTACCATCACTCATCAACACTCATTTCCACCTAAGTTATTCAGTTTTGTGTGATAATGTCAATATAATCTTTCAGTTTGTTTGAGGCCAAAACAGCCCATTTACCATTTATATACTATACTTACAAGTTGAGCTCCATATTTGAACACCTTCTTCCCATTTTCATCCTCAGAGTAAAACTCCTGCAGGAACCGTTTGCATTTATCTGCAAAACAAACAAAAACACCTTCAGCACTATTTCACAGCAGGAAAAAAAAAAAAAAAAAAAAAACAACAGGCCACATCCAGCAGACACTAGGTGGAGATTTTTTTTTTCTTTTCTTACAGAACACACATACGCAAATAAATCATTGTTTACTGATGTTACGTTTGTTTGAATATTGTAGCTAGTTTGTAAGTTTAAAAGCTGTTGAAAATGTTAACACCACCAGTGGGCCTAGAGACTGGGAGCTAATTTGTTGTCCTGCGACGACCCCCTTTGTTGAGTAACATGGCATCCTGTAATCTCGATGAGTCACTATTGCCTACAGTAGAGCACAAACTGCTGCTGATGGACTACATGAACCCAATATCGCCGGAGTGGACCCACTAGCACAGTTTCAGAGAGAAATAACTGGCGGTACGCAGCAGATAGCTCCGGGGGAAGAATGTAAATACAACAACAGTCGCGCTCAGTTCAGTGTCCATTTTTTTTTTTTTTTTTTACAGAAAATATCCCTCACTTCTCGAAAGAGCCACAACTACTAAGAATATTTAATTCCACGCTGCGAGAAACGAAACTAGACCTCGCATGGTGAATAAAATACTCCACTTACTTTGTCGCTGTGGCGGAAAATGTGCAGCTGCGGTTTATTATTTCTCTGTTCGAGGATGTTATTGTAAACAAAGCAGCACATGGCTTTTGTGCCTCGTCACTCGCAGATCCCTCCGCGACCCCTCCGCTCTTAAAAATAGTCCTGGCTGTTGTTTTCAAAACCACGGCCAGCCATCTTCTAACGTTAGCTTCGGTTAGCTTAGCTTGAACGTAAGACATCTCCATGGATACACTCACACCGCGGAGACAGGTTACACTTTAACTTCTTCATTAAACCGACTGCTGCACATTGTTTATGGTATTTTAAAGTTTATAAATTAACATAACTATTATAGACATATTATATTTATATTAGTTAATTAACTGTAATTGTAAGCTAAAGCATTGCCATGGTTACGAAGTTTAACACTAACGTACCTTTTAATGTTTAAATCTGGTTATAATATTATTTTATCGATGTGCGCTGTGTTGTCTTTAACTTTATAGTAAATACATCACATTTTATATTTTAGTAACATCGTCCAACACGATGCAGAGTGTATAAACCAGCTTTTTGAAGTGCCCTTTAGCAAGGCACAGGACCACCGGTAGACTTACTGGAGCTGGCATCGAACCTGTGCACAGAGGCTCGTTAACGTACTGACAGTGGGCTGTGAGGAGCTAATGCTAACCGGTCAGCATTCAATGAGAGACCAGACTGGTGTTGAGTTTAAGAGACTACTGAATGTCACTGTTCGACTTATTTATTCAAACTATTGTTGCGCCATTCAGGCTGAGAAACAAAATAATAGCAGCTAACATTATCAGAATAACTTTTAAAAACTGGTGCTAAACGATGCCTAATATCACCACTATTTGTATTTCTATGTCCGCACTCAACTACACGCGATGTGAACTACGTGGTTAGAGAGAAACCACGCTCACCCTTAAAATAACTCGAGTAAAAACTAAGTGTGTGGAAGTTATTGTTGGACATGTGCTTGCACGGTGGCGCCTGCTCCTTTGTTTAAGCGGATCCATCCGGGTCACCGTGTAGTCACAAGCTCAGAGACAATGCCTCACTGCTCACACACTAGTTCACCACCGCACACTCAAGTTTGTGCAACTTCACGGCCTCATAAAGTAAATAATAATAATAATAATAATAATAATAATAATATTAATAAAATAAGTCAGTCTTTATATATGTAACTATATAACATGCATATATTCCCGGGTTGTGGTCAGAGTGAAGTGAGTGCAGAGGGAAAACGAGGAGATAACGTTATTATAGTGAATAAACTGCATTATGGGCTGCACACTTAATGAAGATGACTTCAGGTTATATTTGCTGCCTTCACACCCAGTGATACTCTGATCTTAGTTTCCAAAGAGCGGTTCAGAGAACACGTACAACTTCTGTTCATTTAGGCCAACCTGTTGCTGCCATGCCGTCATTGTGAAAGTGAGCCCATTACCTTTTTCTGCCGCGTAATCCTTACGAGCCATGGCTGCAGACCCTCCGGTGAGATTAACTTCAGTCCGAAACCCCGAAGCGACCACGGAATCAACAGATGCGGTTTAAATTCACGGTTTTAGTCCCTTCACAACCACCGGAGACCAGTATTCATTCACCAGCAGCCTGCGGTCCTCTCCGGTCGCCGTGCAGAGAAGTGGCGCGAGTCTGACGTCCGCGGCAGCCAATCGCGTGGCTCCTTTCAGTCGGGAGGGGCGGGATTTAGTGGTGGCGCGAAAATCGCGGGTGATTCTGTGTCACGTGACCGGGCGCACTTCCGCCCAGTGAGTCAGGAATGGCGCGAAAGGCGATGATTGGATTTCATTCAACTGAGGGACCCCAGAGTGAACTCAAAGAGTGTTAGTACAACTCTTATAAACAGTAGAGCTCTCAGCTGTCCTTCACATTGTGGAACAGACACAACACACTCATTATAGACACTTAGTGATGGTATGGTAGACAAAGGAGGTTAATCTAATACATTTCACCCAGTTAGAAAAAGAAAAATACAGATATATATGCTTTTTCAGCATTGTTACTGTACTACACTGTCGCAAGATACAGCAGTTCCAAATTACCTACTATAACAACAAACACACATTATCAATCTTCTAATGATCTTGGATAAGTTTCATATATATGAATTCACTTACAAAAAGTTGGATCTATAATGAATATGAGTTCATTAAGACCCTCTGCAATCTTTGGATAAAAAAATGTGAGTACTCTCAATGAGTGTAAGGTTTCTATTTATTTTTATTAGTATTTTATTTTCAATTCCCTCTGTTCTCTGCAATTAACTAACCCCTGGCCTCTTGTTCTAATTGTGTACTACAAATTAACAAAATATATAACACTAGGAGCAAGTTTTTCTGCCCATATTCATTTACTGATGATGTACGTTATGTGCATTTAGTCTGTGTTTGTATGTTATTTAGGAATTGATTTGCCTCCCACTGTCATGCTCACTCGTACACACATTTGATTGTGACTTTATTAAACACTCTGTGTTACTTTGTTCAATTCAGCCCTTTTTTAATAAACATTAAGTAAACAAGCTGGTGCGGTCAACAACAGTGCAAGATACACACTAAATTCACAATGTGGAACACAGGAATTCTTCATCTTGCCGCAAGCAACAGAACATTTGTTGTATTTAGTGTTCAAAACATAAACATTCCTAATAATGAATGTCAACAACGTTTGTCCCCAGACTTCATAATCATTATTTCGCTTCGTCTTCCCCTCCAACAAAATGAATGACTCAAATAGATCTGATGGGCGAACTCGGTAAGGTCATTTAGAAGAACGATGGCCTTAATATTAAGTGCACACAAATGTACCAAACTAATGTTGAAGAGATGTATTAATAAAAAAGAACTGCTGTTGTCAGGGCGGTGCAGGTCTTTGTGCCCTCACTCAAAGAGCTCATCAAGGACACTGGCTGAGGTGTGACGTGTGGAAGGCTGCGGAGCAAAGACAGGATGAAAAAAGAAGTTTATCAGAAATGTAGTCCTTTACTTGTTTGTTAAAAAGATAATCATGTCAAGAACCTAAAACCCATATAAACTGCATCAATATACCACGCACTGTCCGCAGTCTCACTTCATTTATTTATACTCTTATTTGTTACATCTACTGGTACAACAGTTGCTGCCACAATGTACCATTACTGAATAGCAGTCAGCTCCACAAATCACAAGTATAACGTAGTTTCACAGTTCACAGGTATTAAATCCGTTGTAGCTCACATAGTCGAAAATAGTGGCACAGCAGTGTAATACAAGGTGCTATTTAAAGGACCAGTGTGAAGGATCAGTGGCATCTAGCAGTGAAGTTGCAAATTGCAACCATTTGAATTTAACCCAGCAAGCAAACAAAATGTTGCATTAATCAAATCTGTATTTTATAGCCAAACTCAATGATATATACATATACATACAACTATGCAGATTATAGCCGACTCATTAATCAGTATACCTGATGTAAATGAGTGTGTAGTTTTCTTTTTTTTTTTTACCAGTGTATAAACAGATTCCCGTTCAGAGTCACTTTCGTAATCATCAATCTCGGGCTCTTCTCTTTCTTCATCGTCGTCCTCAATCAGAGACAGTCTGGAGAAAAACACAGTTCACACTAATGTCATTTTTCTTACCTGATAAAAACGGGACACCTATTCACATTTTCTGAATATTACAAAACAATTCTGTGAAACAGTTTGAATTATCCTCTAAGGTCAGTCCTACAAGGTGAGGTGGGAGTTCAGGTCTTGCTGATCCACGCTGGGGCCAGTCTGGCTGGAGGAGAGCTGGCGTCGTTTGATGGGCTTCACCTTCCGCATGTGGGACCTGGTGCACAGCAGCATGTACATATTGTCAGCTTTGAAGTCTTCGCCTCATGTTACTATAAATTCTAGCTGGCTGATAAAATGGTCAAAGCACTGAATGAATCTCTCTTCCTTCTTTCTTTTCTTTTTTTCCCCATCTACCTACTTTATCTGCATCTAGGTGAACATGAGTTAACACATGAGGAATATAGTCTGTATATTATTATATAAAAAAAAACAAGTCCCAAATGTTTCTGCAGATGCAAAATGAGCCCAGCAGAATAAGCTTTTCCCTCTACTGACCACAGTGGCTGCTTGATTCAAAAACGGAGCGGCCTTCTTCTCAGTAACACAGCACAAACTGTTCATTTAGAGCAGAACATAGAGTGGCTGACTTTTGACTGTTTGACAGATGTGAAGTGGTTGACCCTTGGCAATATCCAGAATTTGGCAGGTGCCTGGCAATCGAGATGGTAGATGCTGCAAACATGTTAATGATAAAACTCAATTTACCTTGAGGAGAACTCATCCTCAGACTCCGGCTCAGTTAAGCCGCTGCCGATATCAGACTCTGTGGCTCCGGGTTTCCTGGAGGCCATCTGCTTGACTGGCTGTCTCTGGACAGTGGAGGTGAGGGCTGGGGTGTGCAGGCTGCTCTGGATACTGCTGTTGTCCAACCAGGATCCTCTGACTGTGCTGGACATTGAACCTGGAAGAGACAGAAGGTTAATAACTATAAGACTTTGTTGATTTTAGGTGTTTACAAACTACAAAGAAGATATACTCAAAGTCATTTAAGTCAAGTTCATTTTGAGGATTTGCAGTGCTTCTCTGTTTGATATCACTGTAAACTGAACATCTTCCAATGGTAAAACATTAGAGGCAATCTGAAGACCTCACCTTGGGCTTGGGGGACTTGTGATAGGCTTTTTTCAACATTTCCTTTATAATTTTGAATAATGCCAATAGAAATAATAATTAATAATGAAAATAATGGTTGTTGCAGCCCTAGTTAAGTTTAATTTTAAGGTTAAGGAGACCTTCCTTTCACTAAATTATGATCAACTCCAACAACACTGTTCCTTTGCAGAACCTCAACTCTGACCCACCTGCTTAGGAACAGAATCACAGACAGATTCGTACATAGTGTCCAAATCAGTCATTTAGCCCATAAGTATAACTGTTATATGTGCTGTGTGTCCGTCTCACCCTGAGCAGTGGTTCTCTTGCGCTTAGCTACAGGGGTATCATGCGAGGAGGCAGCATCGTCTCCCTCCTCCTCCTGCTGCCGCCGCTCTCTGGGTTTAGAGGAGGAGCGGCTGTCCAAGGAACGCTGATACATTCTGACTGACGGCCAGGAGAGGGCAGCACTGGGACACTCTGATTTCATAAATTCAGCCCTGGGTGGGGATGGCAGAGTGATAGAGAGAGGAGGACAAAGACCAAAAAACCTTTGTTGATATCAACATTTGTCAGTTTTTTCAAGTTTCTGTGAATTATGATGACTCAAATCCAGTCCAATACACTGACTAATACATAAACTAAAGTAACTTTCACACCTACTATAATGAATACATTCCAACATAATACAGTCAGATTCAAACTGAGGCTTTTTTGTTTCCTCTTTAAAGGGAAAAAGATGTTGCTTTTGTTATGTCAATACCATATAATACTTACACTGTTAAGTTAGTATTAAGGTACTGAGATTCAGTGGAAGAATGACAAAAAGCACATATATTTGAGTAAATGTGCATTAGTTTGTGGGTTTTTGTTTCTCACAGTTGGGTGCGGTCCTGTTGCAGCAGCTTGAAACTGAACTCGCTGAGGATCTCCATGAAGGCCACATTTGGATGCTGCTCTTCTCCCTCCTGTGGGTCCCGAAACGCAAACCGTATACCGTCCCTAAAAGACACAACACACACAATATCTGTAACACATAACAAAACCAATCTATAACACAGAATGAACAGATACAGTTTGATCATCACTCTTGAAAGTCAAACATGAATAAACTGAGCTATAACCTGAGAGCACTGGTGTGTATGTGTTTGTCAGAGACACGTTTGTTGCTTACGTGTGCAGGGCCACCAGTGGTTTACGGACACGATGGAGATCGACGCCAAAGCTCATGGCAAGCCTCTTGGCCAATTCTCTAATCTCACCGAGATCCTGCCTGCTGTGGTCCTCCGTAAGCATCTCCGAGAACAGCTGAACACACGCAAACATGACTTTACATAAACACGTTACACAAAGGGCCCGTCATTCAAACAGTTCTATAGATATGGACAGATGGTTCCACTGGTCCGCTTCGGTTAAAAAAAATACTTGTACTGGTTTTAATAGGCCTGTTGGACCAAATAAGAGAGGCTTTCCTACATGAAGCACAATAACTTATAATTGATATATGACTCTGGGATTTATATGTTTTATATAATTTTTGGTTGGACATCTGTCAGGCACAATACAAATGTTATATAGTAATAAATAGGTAATAAATACATAGAGTCCCATTTACAAGCAATTGATACACATGATATTGTCATAATGTAGTGATATATGCTTATATGTAGATATTTTAGCATGTAGAAATCAAGCTAAACAACTTAAAAACAGTACAATTGCCTTTTTAGAGGTAAAGTATTTAAGATTTAACTTTAAGATCCAGCCACATGATGAACATGTCAGTTCCAGGTAACGGTTTCAGAGCACACTCATGAGCGTGAACATTGCAATGATGTTTTAATAAACAGATTAAACTTCATATAAAATAAAAACAGCTATCAAAAGTTTGAACTAAGATTCGATTAAAAAGAGGAACCAACATATAGAAGTACTATTTTCAATATAATACAGTATTAGTATTATCATCATGATTAATGACAAATCCACTGGTAACTGTATCTCATGTAGTCATTAAAAGTCCATTGCCATGACACAACATAATAAAAGTTGTCAGGAATAATTAGAGGCTGGTTATTGGTGTGAGTGCAAACCTGCTGCAGACTCAGACAGACAGTCTTAGCGCTCTGAACCGGACTGATGAGCTTGCTCTTGCTTACAGTCTCTTTAATGATGTCGCCAAAGTCTTTAAAGTACTGGAGAAGAAAAAGAAAAAAGTGAAGTTATGATCATTAGTCTATTTAATTAATGGCAGTGTCTAAATATGTAAAATGAATCCACTCCTTTCTAGTCATCAGTGCTTCTTTTAACCACTGTTCCCTCTGACTCATTCTTGGCACCTCGCTGGTTCTAAAACTGATTTTCTCACCATCCTCCACTCCATCCTCCCCAATTTATCTTTTAATCAATTTAACACATTTTGCTCACATGTATAACCACACAGGTGACACAGCTAGCAATGCATATGGATATGTGTGCTTATAATACACATATAACATGCTAGGCTAGCTAATAAAACTTGAAAAGGTATTATCTCCAGCTCAACCTTGCTGTAGTGCTTGAAGATGTCGGTGGCGGCGGTGAGGTCCAGCACCCCGTAGATGACCAGCTTACAGTAGCCAGCCAGCTGGTTGCGCTTCTTCTGGAGAACAGTTATCTTCATCTCCTCCTCACCCTCAGCTAGAGAGGAGAGCCAGGGTAAGAGGACAAGACGGGGCAGCAATAGACCAAAAATTAACGTGAACGATGTAGTCGGGAGAGGCATGGAGAAAACGTTGAGGTGTCGATAAGATACAAGTAAAAACAGAACGTGTGATGGTATTTGGCTGCATATTGTGAAATACAGGGGAAAAAAAAAAGATTTGTTATAGCAGCAGATTCCCAAAACAAGACATCAAAAACTATGCTTGCGGGCATAAATGATGGTAGGGTCCTCTGAGAGAGCTTTGGTGGTGTTAAAATTGAGCAGTGAGTTTCTCAAACACTACACATCCGTAAGGTAAACAAAAAAACTAAATTGTGAACATCGTCATTTAGTAGTGTATAAAACGAAGAGGACGGACTGTAACAGGACTCACTGTGTTGACTGAAAGTGCTCTGGAAAGTACCACCATTAATCCAAAACTTTATTAAGAGTAGGCGTTGACCGTACCATTGAGCTCAGTATCTTCACTGTCAGAGAAGATGTAGTCCAGGAGGAAAGCAGCCATCTCGGAGCGCAGGGAATCAGACGGCAGGTGGACCAGCGTTTGGAGGGCGGTTCCAGAGTGGGCTGAACTTGCACTGTACAAGAGCAGCAGGTCACAGAGCAGCTCAAATGCCTGAGGATGGAAGAATTACCATCTGTCAATCAAAATTCAGATATGTAACCATTTACACATATTGACTTTGTCAGCATGTCAAAGCTGACAAAAAGGTCTGTAAATTGCTCAGTTTGTCTGAGAAGTAATAGGGGTAACTACTCTCAAAGACAAGACCTTCTACCAACTCTTTTAAGCTTCAGTGTGTAACATTTACACAGAAACAGAATCTTATTCAAAGGTATGTTTTTATTCGTGTATAATCACCTGAAAGCCGTTTTTATTTACAGAGGGAGTGGGTCCTGTTCTACAGAGGCCACCATGTTCAGCTGCCAGGTTGAGGCGAGGGTGTTGTGATCTACAACTACACTGCTATATGCCACTAAATCCTACACACTGGTCCTTTAATGAATGTTGTCAGATATATACGTGTATAAAAAGGAAATTCATCTGTAGAAAGACATTAACATAAAGCCTTTGTGTTTAAAATGATGGTTCACATTTGCGACGAACATTCTTACCTGATCTCTGATCTCAGTCTGGTTCAGAGACAGACAGGTCTGACAGACTCTGCAGAATGAACGCACCTCCCTCTTCAGACGCTTCAAATCCGCCTGGAACAGATGGTGATGGAGGGACAAAGAGTGAGAAGTGAGGAGATCTCAGGTATTATCATTCATGTGTATATGTGTGTGTGTGTGTGTGTGTGTGTGTGTGTGTGTGTGTGGGACAGGAATGAGGTGCGAGGCAGGTTACTGTCATCACCTGAGTGTTATAACTGTAATTCAGCTTCTATATTTAAGGTATTAAGGTATAATTGGGATTTAAGACCTGAAAGGAACACCTACATGTGGAGGTTTCAATGTGTGTTTGTGTGTGTGTGTGTGTGTGTGTGTGTGTGACGCACGCTGAGGAAGCTGACAGTTCTAGTGCCGCTATTACATAAATAGATAAAGAGATGAAAATAACTGAACACAAGGTTTTCTCTGGAACGCTGATAATAGTAATGATGTGCTCAGTGTGTTTTGTGAGATAGAGAGTGAGAGAGAAAAACTGTAGAAAGGTGAAAAAGAGCTCAAGAGAGAACCAGAAAGTGGAAAGAAACAATAACTGTAAGAAAAAGTGTGAACCCGTGGGGAAACAAATGTGTCACGAGTGTCATTGTGGGCTTGGATGTGCACTAACAGATTGCTGTGTTAATTGCCTGCTGTCTGCGCAGCTGGTGAATTGTTGAACAACACAGACGAGAAGAGCTCCACAAATACGCAGGAAGGCCACCAACATGTCCTCCACGGGCAGGACGTGACGCGACAGCCATCGAGAAAGTATTTATCACGCAGGTCATGTTATCTTGCGTGTGTGAAAGACTGAGAGAAGGTCAAACTATTTCTAAACATCATACAAAACAGCATGAGACGCATAAAAAAGGGAAGCTGTTTTATGATGTCAGATCATCACCTCAGCTGGTGTCGAGTTGACCGCGTTCACTTTAGCCCACATCAGGTGAAAGGCCGCACACTTCAGCGCAGACACCATGAGCTGGAATTATACAGAAGAAAAGTTTTAAATCAGCTTTTCTACAGAGTTCAGTGCATTATACAAAATCTGTATTCCACTTAAAGGACCAGTGTGTAGGATTTAGTGGCATGTAGAAGCAACCCCCCCACTTCCCCCTCCCATTTCTAAGTACGACAGACTAACTACTGTGGCCTTCTGTTTCTGCCAAAAGGTCCTCATAAATGTCACACACTGGACTTTAAAGTGTTCCAAGCAGATACATATCTACATAAAACTTAAGAGAATAATTAAAAATGTCCAAATCTAGTCTAGCATTAATTTTCTAAACAGAAACATAAGTGTCACAAATGCACATCGCAACACTACCCTTCAAATATCAAAATGTGCGATTTTCTAACAGACCTCCTCGTTGAGCTCTCTGGACTCCATCCTGCTCTTTAGAAGCTCCAGACAGGAGTCAAACAGCTTCCAGCCGGTCGGGTCCCTTGCACTGAACAACACAGAAACACACTTCTGTGTAAGAAATAGTCAACTGCTGTTTGTATCATAACAACACACACTTACCTGCTGAAGACGGCGACCCTTTTCAAGGCAGTGGCTGCGCTGTACACGTCATCATCGTCTGCAGTACCCTATGTTCACACACACACACACACACACCGATGTGTTTTTGTTATCTAGCCTACAAATTGGGTGAACATAATGGTATTATATCATGCATTTCATAACATGCCATATTTGAAGGCTTCACTGACACGCTCTGTCCCACCTGCAACAGGTCATTCAAGTAGGTGCTGAAGCACTCAATCAGGCCGTCCAGCAGCTGGCTGAACGCCAAGTGTGCGCGGGAGGAGAAGGTGTAGCGGTCGGAGCAAAGGGTGCTGGCAAGGTGGGCGCAAGCCTCCAACACTGTGACCTCTGTGTGCTTCGCCACAATACCACATATCTCACACAGCAGCAGGTCCAGATGCTGACGAAGAGAGTGGGAAATGGCGGAGGATCAGAGATCAGAACAGCAGGTAAGTAGAATATGACTGTATGTGCTGCTCTCACAGTTTGTTGGTTTGCTTACTCAAGAACATTGTCTCTGTGTGAGTGTGCGGGGGCAGCCAGCATCCATAATCATGTGATGACTGAATAATAACAGGATAATTAGAATTTTAATTAAAGACAGAGCTCCAGACAGAGCTGGGCTCCTCATATTCATACTGTACTGTTTCTCAACTCCTGCTTTAATGTGTACCCACAAACCATTTAAACACCACTCAGTCACTTATATTATGTCAAAGGCCACGTTCAGACTGCAGGCCAAAGGGACCCAAATCGGATTTTTTTTTGCTCATATGTGGTCCAAATCAGATTCAGGTCTGATCTTTTGCAATGTGACCTCAGTCAGGCAATAAGCTCATTACTTCAAGCCTCAGTGTATCTGACCAGCAACTTAAGTCATTGTTCACCTTTGTTCCTTTTTCGACAGACTTTCATTTGCTCATTTTTATTCCATTTATTTTTCTATAACACTGCCAGGTCATTAACTGTGGAGCCCTAAATAGGACAGAAATAATTTAAAAGTGTTTCTCTCTGATCACCAGAGGCTCGGACCCTCTCATGGAGAGGGGTAATTATTAAGAAGGAACAGGATGTAATTCTGAAGAGATTCAGGGTATTCAGGGTAATTAATTACATTGGTCATATGTCTACCTTCTCCAGTTTTGGAGCGCTGTTGTACATCTCCAGGTCAAAGTAGAGAGGAGCTTTGAGGAGGAGGCTCACCTTCCTTGCATCTGCTGAGTACTGCAGGTCAGTGAGGGGAGAAAAACCCACAATCAGCATTAGAAAAAAGTGTACAGTATATTACATTTAACAATATGTAATATCAGTGTTATAAAGTGTGTTACGTAAACCTTGGCTGGGTACCTTGGCCAGCAGCTGTGGCAGTATGGGGATGAAGTGTGTGGTGATACGTCTCCTGTCCTGCTCCTGGACCTTCCTATCCTTCATACTCAGGATCTAATCCCACGGAAACAGGACAAAAAGCATTCAGATATCATGAGGGTGTGTGTGTGTGTGTGTGTGTGTGTGTGTGTGTGTGTGTGTGTGTGTGTGTGGTGTGTGTGTGTGTGTGTGTGTGTGTTCCTATGTGTTCAAAGTAATGTGACCACAAATGAGTAAATTACCCACATAAAAAACATTGCAAATATTTGAAGCTGAAAAATGTAACTTGTATCTTAAAAAAGGATCACTGAGCTGTCTTTCTTAAAATGGGATGAAGCTCGAGACTGAGGTAACCAAAAAACAAATGTGTGAGATCTGCAATGAAAAAAGGAATGCTAGTGTTTGCACAGATGATTCAGACTGATGTTGTGTATCTAATTTATTCATGTTTAGTGTCAGGAAGTTGCAGAAGATTGTAGCTTTAAAACTCTTTAACTTTTTGTATGATAGGTACATTTGAAGTACAAACAAAGAATGACATTTCTCTCGCCCCCGCGCTCGGCTGCTCCTGAAAACAAACTACAGAGAATTATCATGCGTTTGCCTGTCACCACCTTCTTGCCCTGAGTTCTCCCAACAGGTGCGGTTGCGTGTGCCGCCTGTCTGATGGCGCACATCATCAGCTCTATGAGAGGCCCCTCCTCTTCATACATCAGACCTGACAACACAGACAGGTGCAGAACTGAGTGGGTGGTGGTTGAGAGTACACAATGCACAGACAGCTATGGAGCAACACGAGAGTTATGAAAATCATTATGGTGCATCGGTGTTAAACTGAGTGACTCTGTGCACTGACAGCGCTAGGATTTGTTGTGGTGCGTCTTCCTCACCATCGTCCTGTAGCAGGAAGGCCGTCATAGTCTCCCAGTCTCTCAGCTCAGACCCTGCCACACCCCACAGACTATCCACCAGGTACGCCCCATGCTCATGGAACTGTCAAGTGAATGGATTGCTTTAAAGCTGGGATAGGTATTAGATAGTATTTCTGAGTTCCATAATAACCTTTCAGCATATTGTAATTCAAGTGGTCGGAGAGATAATTAGACTTCTGCCCCTGCTCTTGGCTGTTTTCAGGCTTTACAAAATCAAGCTCATGTTGGGAGACTTATGCCAATCACAGGTCATTTCAGAGAGAGGGCGTTCCTATTGGTTGTTCTAAAAATGCAGATATGTGTGCATGTCCCTTCAGACGGCGAAAGCCCAGTCTCGCACAGCCACATGTATCTCAACACTTTTAGCACTGCGCTAACCAGAGCATGTGAGCAGAGCATGCCTTATCTCCTGCTCCAGTTTCGCTTCAGTATGTGTGTGTCTACCACTGGTACCACTGTAGGTGTCATTCATTATCAATATGTGCACGAGTGAGCCTGGCTGTTTATATCACAAGCGTAACCGACTCCCTTCCTTGCTACCATCGTTCAACTTGTGTGTTTGGTGGGAGTCTTAGTGGAGCGGTATGTGGCAGCATAGAGAGACTGTGTTCAAACCACCTGCTCAGCTTTAACTCCACTGCACAGTTGTCAAACACCAAACACGGTGTGTATGTATGTATGTATGTATGTATGTATGTATGTTACTCATGACATAATGCGTGGTTCACAGTTGAAACTCTATAAAAATGTTCAGTAAGTCATGTTCTCCAACTTTCAGTGTACAGAGCTGGAGACTTGAGATTTGGACTTATGGGAAAACAGTAATAGAGGAGAGGAGACTTGACTTGGTGACCCATAAATATTAATAATTAATATTAAACAAGAGCAAAAACATGATTTGGACAGCATATTGTCATGGTTAGTCAATTTTATAAATGAAAAAAATAATGGCAAATAATGAAACGAGGCCAAACAAAACACTACCTCGCTCTGGATGTAGAAGGAGATGAGGATTTGAAAGAAGGCTGCATTGTCACTTTTATCATTCTCTTCGTTGTCACTGGCAATCACCCCTTTCAGCCTGACACACACGACAAAACTATTTTCAAATCATATCAACCAAAAGTAAAGAAATGAATGGGGGATGGAAAAGAAAAGTGAAAATGTACTTGTTGTACAGGAAGCCCCCGGCTGCAGATGCGAGGCCTCTGTGTGAAGCATAAACCAGGGGATAAATATGGCCACACTCGTCTTCTCTCAGGCCTTCTTCTGTCCCCCTGCAAGTGCACACACATGAACAGTTAGAGCTCAACAAAGTTGGTTACAGAGTTGTTCCGATACCAGCATCGGAAATTCCTCCAATGCTGGTTTTTTAATGATATTAACATTTATTTCATATAATTTAACAGACCTTCAATAACATCCATTGAGATTTCTGAATGTCATTACCACATTTACCTCTCTCTGACTAATTAATCTTAAAAACATCTAATTTACTTGAGTCAGTGGTGTGAGATGGTGGCCAACGTGAGAGATCACGACTCGCTCTGTGAATCATCAGCATTCATGACAAAGAAGTGTTATCGCAGTTATGAGTAACCATTACATTTCTATTAATGGGAAATTATCTAATTATTGAGAGACTGGACAACCAGGGTTTATTTGCTCAGTTTCTTATAAAGAGATTTGACGCAAAAGCCTTTAACCTTGAAACTAACACCACCTATATGAAGCAATATCGTACCAAAGACGAAAGACTAACTGAATAAAATACTTGGATAGCATTATTACCAATGCTTTAAATTGCATATGAATAGAACATTTCTGTGCGAAGAAGAAAAACAGGCACTTGAAATTGTATCAGTCAAATTGACCATATTTGGTATTCTTTGATCTATTAAAATGAAATTCCTGCACTGTATGTTGCAGATAGTGGCACAGAGAAGCCACCAGAGACAGAGAAACCCCTCACTGTTGGATCAGCAGTAACAGATTGACCACTTCCACTGCCACGTCTGGGTCCTTGTCCAGCACCATGCTGAGCATCCTCTCCTAAACACACACACACACACACACACACAAGCATAAAGACATTCAGATATGCCACGGCGCACACACACACACACACACACACACACACACACGCACAATCATGCCAGCAGACAGACATAAAAGTGACACACAAATATGAGTAAATGTACACACACCCACAGACATGCATGCACACCCACTGATTAGGCTCTAAGCTAAGCCATGGCATGAAAACCATTCATCTGCTGCAGCACATGTGGCTTAGGAAGGTTTTTATGTGTTTGATAAGAGCTTATTAACCATCAGTAATTGGCAGCAATTAGCGCACCCAGACACACGCCCAGACAAAGGAAGAGACCATAACACCAAACAGGAATGGTGGAAAAAGAACAAAACTAAAAAGGCAGAAAAATAAGGGGAGGGGGCACAAAATTCTAGAAAGAGAGACAGAGGCAGGCAAGAAAATAGAAACAATACAATAAGCTGAAACAATAGATTAAAGAGATGTTCAGGCAGGCAGGCAGACAGACAGACAGACAGACAGACAGACAGACAGACAGACAGGAGGGAAAAAGGAGGAAGAAAAGAGGCATTAAATAAGGTGCGAGTCCGATCCAGAGGGATGCCTCACTTTAAATCTACTGGTGAAAAGCTCCAGGCGGCCAATGAATTCCTTCTCCTGGTACAGACCCTGCAGGGCACGCACACACTGCAGACGCACCGGACTTTGCTGAGGGAAAGAAGAAGAGAGTACAGTAACACCCACTCCATAACCTGCATGCAGACTGTTCATAGTGGACATTTCTCTTTGTGTGAGTAAGTGTCTGTGGATCCTTCCAGTGTCTGTCTGCACATTTTCCAAACAGTGTCTTGTGTGTGGGGCCTTCATATCAAGCATTAATATAAAATAAAGCGCTGCTCAATTTAGAATGCTCAAATCCCTATACGCTGCAGTCCTCGTCATTGCTATCTCCACTGCTGGCCTGTGTGAGAGCTGCAGACAGACAGCTGCTACCTCTGTGACACATTGGTGATGCCTGCGATGATTATTACACTTCACTTTGTACTGTCTAATCCTTGTGTATGCATTTACCTTATCATGCAGGGTCCATCCCAGGTATTTAAGACATCCATCATTGAGGAAGTCTTCAGGGTCCATTTTCAGCCACATGCCTAACTCCTCAATGCAAGTTGCCCGGATCTCAGGCAGCCGGTCCCGGTAACGGTGCACAAACACACCGCGGAACGTGGCGTTCATCATGGAGGATATCTCCTCTCTGTTCTCCTGCAGCTACAACACACAAACATGAAACACAGGCATATAAACATGCAAAAAAAAGACTGAAATCCTCAAATTAAACTTCACCATTTTCTCATCAGTCTATATCATTCTAGAGATCAATATCTATCAGTGAGGGTGAGAGTACATAGTTAATGTCACATTGTCATCATGGACACAAAACAACATACAAAAGCATCCTTTGTTTTACTACTAACGCTACTTATCTTAATATTAACACTTAGAGCGTGCACTGCCTGTTCCCCCAGATATAAAGTACCTTTATACTTTCATACTGTAGTCTTAATATCTCCACATTTTTGTATCTTTTCTACATAAGAACTGACCAACTCTATCACCCAGGCTCTCGCTACTAAAAAATAATTGAATTTAAGAAGGTTTACATGCTATAAATGTTTTAAATATGTATATTTCAGTTTTATCACTTGGAGCAATTCAAAGACATTGGCCCTCAGCACTGTCCTGTGTATCCTTTCCTCTATAAGATACACTTTTTTCTATAAATCAATGTCTTTTATGTTCTGACCTGCATGCTTAGTATGTCAAAGTGGCTGCTTGTCTGCACTCGGGCCAGTGTTTATCTGTGTAAGTGTCACCTCGCTGATGGTGGCCTGCAGCTCCTCCAGTCTGCCAGGGGCTCTGTCATGCGGCCTCTTGCTGTTCTCCATGTCGTATCGCCGCTGGGTGGTCTGCAGCTGAACAGACACTACCACAGCTACTTCCACCAACCCAGTCATCAGCTTCATGGCTAATAAGAGAATAACATACAGACTGACAAGGCTAGATGGTACTGACAAAATACAGTATATAAAGGGGGTCGATCGGAGGGGGAGAGACAGAGGAATGTTGCACACAATAGGTACAGTACAGTCACAGTCCACATTTACACAGCAGATTATCTATGATGTGTCATAGAAATCCTCAACAACAATAGTGTGTCCAATAGTTACAGTAACTGTTCATTTTCTACAGTATAAAAAGTAAATGCTTTTAAATATTGTACAGTAATTAACAGCCTAATCACATTATGGATAAGCTGTTCATTTTGTTTTGTGGTTTGGTTGAATGGAGGGGAGAGATCCAATGGATGAGCAGAGGTTTCAAAAGAAAACAAAAGCAAGCTATACAGGAGGAGTACATTGAGGAGTACAAAAACAAAAGAACTACACTAGCAGCTAAGACAGATGTCAGCTGAATAGAGCAGTTTCTTCTTCCTCCCTGACAAGCAGTAGAAGATTCTCCAGTATCATGGACATGGAAGTGCAAGTTTTCACCCCTATCAAAAACTGCAGTTCCCGTGTGTGTGTGTGTGTGTGTGTGTGTGTGTGTGTGTGTGTGTGTGTGTGTGTGTGTGTGTGTGTGTGTGTGTGTATATATATATACACTTTTCTGACTGTACTGTACTGGTATGCTTACCAAGCAGGGTACTGGTGTGTCTGAAGGCTCTGACCTGGGAGTCAGACAGGCCAGTGAGCAGTGCCAGCAGGGAGGGGAACAGGCGCTCGTCATAAATGAGGCTATTCCGACAAGAGCGTACCAGAACACGAGCAAACTCGCACAGGCCGGCTTTGAAACGCTTCAGCTGGGGGCCTGGAGTGCACAGAGGGTAGTTCACTGAATCCTAGAGGATGAAAGGAACCAAAAATATAATGGAAGAAACCTATTACACTGTGCTTGGTAGAGCTATTTGAGGCAGAAGCCTCTGGTTTGCTCGGCTAATGACAATTACATCAGTGGCAAAACAAAGTGATTAGCTCATTAATGTGTCCATTTATCAGCTTTAGATTTTAATTAGTGTGTTCCATCACACTGTAGCCCCTACTTCGGATTATAATCTCCTGGGATACGGAGGTTGTTTGACTTTCTCAGCAAATTCCAGTAAGATTATTACAAGTGCGAAGGGAAGACAAACACAAGGAACTAGATTAAAAATGTGTAAGAATAATCTTTTAATATTTTTAGGATTTTTAAAAACAAATCTAAACTATGTCTGAATTAGTTTTTTCTCACCTCATTGAATTCTTTGGTTAATGTGCCGATGATCTCAGCATTCTGCATGCTGTCAAACATCTCTCTGCTAACCACGCCTGGACAAAGAATGAAACGTTAACATAATGTTCCACATTAGGAAATAAAGTGAAATAAACAACAAACATAGATAAATGTAATAATACATGAATTCTGGTTCTTCTATTTGACCCAAAAATTAAAGTACATGCTATGATTTCTTCTCATTTTCATTCTACTCTCACAAAATATTGATATGGTGTGTTGTCAATAGACAGAAGATTAACACAGCTCCTGGACAGAGCATCGTTACCATACTGGCTGATCAATAGTTGACTGCTGATCTTTGCCTAAACTGAAATTGGAAAGATAATCTCTTGAACTTTGATCCCCACCCCTCATCTCGTGGGCTTTGCTGTTGACCTCTGACCTTTGCATCCGCAGGACTGAACAATGAAGTTGATGAGCACCAGCAGCCCCGCCTCTCGGCTTCGCTTGTAGCTGTCCAGCCACTCATCCACCACCGTCTACAGATTGACAGGGAGATAGCAGCCAATGTGAACGCTGGGCTCAGATCAAAGGGCAGATGGATATAATAACAATATATCAATTGAATAACATTATGGATGCCAGCATTAACCTTTCTTCCTTCCACTGGCCCTTCATGTTTTTCTCAGTAACATGTGTGGGTCTGAATCCCCCACTTTCTCTCCCGCCTATATTTTCTGCACATTGTAAATTCCAGTTTTATTCACAATCTCCTTTGCATAATCGTTTTTGGCAACCATAAACACATAAGAAAAGACACTACTTTAGAACATCTGTTGTGTTGATAATAACAGTGTAACAGTATATCTTAAGTGTAATAAATTGGAAATGTAGAAGAAGCATGGAGTAACATTTAGCCAAGACCTGAGAAACCTTTGTGTAACAGAGTAAAATTTCATGAACAGCAGTTTGCCAGATTTGCTGAATGTGTTGTATGAAAGTGGGCCTTCACCCAGAATCACCATCTGCATTGTCTTGCTGCTCTATACTGTAGTGACAGACCCTTTTTATTGCTGCTCACCACACTTTTTTGTCTGTCTATTGTTATGTGGTCCTTCTTTTCTAGTCTTTAACCAGGAGAGACTGGGCACAGCACAACAATGGTTGGGATGGACACATGCTGTCAATCATTGACTACACAACCCAGTAAAAACACTTTTTCCTCTTCGCGTATCAAAGGCAATTCTGTAGGGTCACATCAGTCAGCCACTGACAGCTGATGATAATCTCTCATTGTCGGCTCTTAGAGCCTTGTTTCTCTTCCTATTACACATGCCTCCTTCAGCACCTCCCTCCCTTCATGTGTTTATCTCTGCAACCCCTTCCCCCTTCCCTCTATGCTCTTCAGCTAAGGGTTTGCTCACCACCATGGCACTCTTTCCAGAGCGGACAGCATCATAGATATCCTCTGCACTGATGCCCTGGTTGCCCTGGTTCACTCTCGTCGCAGGTGTAGGAGAGGCCTGCTTGCGTGTCCCCCGGGAGTGCTGCTGCTGCAGGGAGGTGTCTGGTGGAGTGGGGATGGGGCTACTACTGGGGCTGGACGTCGCCCTCAATGTAGCTTTACGTCTGGGTCTCTTGGGTGGCTTGAGATGAAAGAGAGATGGGAGGGCAGCTAAGCGGGGGATTTGAAGTGAATTGATGTAGTCGAGTGCGTTAGTGGTAGCCATGGAAAGATAAGGTGTAGGTTTGAATCGAACATCCACCACAGTGTTGCCGTTGTTATGAGTCGGGTTAAGCCTGTTTGATCTTTCTGATAAAGAATAATAGAATTAATGATATAAAAAACAAACTTAGACAAGGTTATAGCCTTGATCTACTCCCTTATGAATAATATAAATCAATGAACTGTTTCGAGTGAGAACAATATAATTTACCTGAGGTCCAGGCACTGCTTGCTTTCTCCGCTTTGTGACTTTAATGGTAGCGCCATAGTCACTGCCAGAATCTGAGGAGTCATCAAACTCCTCAACACTAACAGACAAGTAAGAAAAATGAATCAAGACCAATCTTAGCATCAAAATTAATAAATAATTATTACTCAGGCCAACAATACATCAGAGTCGGGCAGGTATCCTCATTTACCTGTCCAATACTGAGTCTCCACTTGCCATTTTAGGGTCAAAGAGGATCCACTGACTGTCAGATTGTCTCAGCAGAGAGACCTACAGCAGGAGGGGACACTGAATTAACTACAAGGCTAACACAAGCTAACACAGCTAACATTACGTTACAGTAAAGAAACGTCCATTATCGGACTTATAACTATAATTCTATCACTTTTTATAAAGACATCTTATAAAACAGGTTTGAAAAGGCAATCTAGTCCGATTATAAGTGAGCTAACGTTATCTTAACTTTGTTAACATAAAGATCTCATTGTTGCTAAGGGACAAGACCCGTTAGCAGACCATCCCTTGAACACACAAAACTTTAGCTAACGTTACTACAGCGAAAACTGATCAATAATCATCATTAGTAAACTAACTTATACATGATTATTACCACCTGAATATTGATTACTGATCAGATATTGGCTTCTCGTCGCCGCCCTTCCCTCTCTTCGTGACCGGCAGAGACTCAAGGGCGCGCAAAGGTACGCAAAAGGATTCTGGACGCTGATTGGCCAGCGCCTCACCAGCTCAGAAGATGATTGGTCCTTTCAGAGGGTCACTTGATGATCATTGGTCATTCATTAAGCAGCGCTGCCATGCTGAATATAAGAGTACAATTCTTATATCAGTCATTTTACCTTCATGCTATATTTCTTCTAGAAGTTTCTACATTTGCTGTAATGTATTGTATTGTATCTGTAATCTGTCTGTCTGCTCTGTGTCTGTCTGTCTGTCTGTCCAGTTTGTAGGACCCTGAGGTGGTTGGCTCAGCTGCTCCCCGCCCCGCCACCGCAGGCTCCTCACCCTTCCCTCCCCTGATGGCCTCCCTCTGCACGGTCCATTGTTCTGTGTCTGACCAGCATAGTCAGCGAGCAGAGGGTGAGACACCACTTCCGGTCCGAACCTTCAAAATAAAATACTTACTGCCCCAGCTTCCCCATGTTGGTTAGTAAAAATGACACACGTATAAATCCTCAGTGGGACATGAGTCTTGAATATAATTTTATAAAATGATTATTTCCATTTTCCCCAATGTGTAATAATGATGCAAACTTAAAGATAAAAAAAAAAAGTCTAGTTGTATATTGTGCTCAACGCTGTCAGCAAGCAGCATCAGTGTCTTTTACCATTTATAGTAAAAGAAACCCTTTTCATATACATGTACATAAACTGTAGGCTACTTGTGAGAACGACATAGTTTCAACTAAATCTCAAATCTTCTGAAACTTAAATGAAAAATGTTAAAACGTCTGAAACCCGAGGAGATTATCCAGGAATAACCCATGTTTGCAGTTGATGTGATTTGGTTATGCAGCCTAGTTCCATGACCCTGTTCACACCCAGAGGTACAAACATTTTGAGCCCTCTAAGAAGTGTTTATCCTTCCGGCTCTTCCTGTCTGTCTCTGTGCCACACGTGCTCTCAAATTTGATGGAGGATCTGACACTACTCAACTTAAGTACAAAAACAGTAACACTGGCGGTTATAGTACTGGATTACAGTGAACCTTAAATCCCATTTTAATTTATTTGTGGTAGATCGTGATGGCAAATCTATCCCTTTAACCAATAATTCTGTTCTCCTAAAATGCAAAGATAACAGTTTATATGAATGGTTTGTATTGTCTTTTTACAGTTGATCAAATATAGGAATAAATACCAAAAAAGTGTTTAGAGGCTTAAACTGTGGCTATTTGACAGCCTTCACTAAATTAAATTTGGAATTAATGTTGTGGGACTGGTCATTTATATCTTTATATTATTTTATTCTCATGTTCAGTTTATTTAACTTCAGCAATCTTTTTTATTTTACTCTTATAAAATATTTGTGTCTTCATGAGAAATTGCTGTACAAACTTACTTGCCTTTGCTTTTATTTTGAAAACAGTCACCTTTCCGGTACTTTCCCGCTAACTCCTGTGAGCTTGGCGCAGTTCGGCTGTTAGATGAGGCTGAGGGACGGGAGTGCCCCATTCACGCTCCCTTTACATTGACGTACAGCAGCGGATCTCCCAGGAAGGACAAATTAACTGGAGACATACGTGTGATGTAAAAGAAAGAAAAAAATACTCAGACCGGATGCATCAGTTCATTACACTTATCGGGGAAAACTATGAGCGCTTTAAACGACTGACGGTTTGGGATACTACTCTTTTTACTTTTGCGTGCATTTAAACCGGCCGCTCATTAATTTATAAAAAGGTGCTGCACCCTCAGTCTGGTTTTTATATAAACCCGCCCGCTGCCCCAGCCTGCTGTCGTTTGTTCCTGCGGTGAAGATGGATACCCGGCTATGTTTCCCCAGGTACCCGCTGCTGGTGCTGCTCTGCTCGGTCTGTGCGCTGTCGGGGACCCGAAGCCCGGTGGCTGCTGCGGGGAGGAGCTGCGCCGACACCCGGCAGGTGTACGCGGAGAAGGGGTACAGCACAGGCACCGCACCGCTGACTCAAATCTCCGGTAAGACTCTGCATCGAGCCGGCGGAGGGGATAAATTACACCGTTCAGACAGTTTTCACGCAGAACCGCCAGGCAGTCATTTTAAAACATGTTTCTAATTCAAGTTTCTAATAAAAAATACATGTCGCAGCAGATCAGTAGGCGCGTCAGCATGCTCTAGTTAGTCTCAACAGGGACAAAAATACCCCTCTGCACATTAAGGTCACTGTAAACTCGCTGCCCAACACCACAGATAGACCACAGATAATCATGGGAATATTAATACTCGGCCGGACATTAATTTAAATAACAAACACACTCCAAGGCACGCCAGGAAAGTGAGATCTAAAAGTGCAAGGTGGCTCAAAACTCACTAATAAGCGGCAGAGACACAATGTGGGGAATATCATGGTGAGCTTTCCTCGGGAGAAATAACGCAGGGTGGTTTAAAACAAATTACACCCGCCCCCTCCTCCCCTCTGTGCTGTTTAAATAGGATGATTAAGGGGATGAGCAAATTGCCAACACCGGTGCAACAAAGAACCTCGCCCCTAATTAGTCTTTGCCTACTGGCCCACTGTTAAATCCCTGCATATACCCACAGGCTCTGTTCACCGGTGATAATCTTATCTGCTGAATGAAAAGATATCATGTGGATCACAAACAGTTTTGGAAAATGTGAAGTTTTGGTGGTGAGGGATGGGTGGGAGACAGGAGAGGAGAGGAGAGGAGAGGGGAGGGGAGGAGAGGAGAGGAGAGGGGAGGAGAGGGGAGGGGGAGAGTGGGTGGAAATTTGTTTAAATGTGAACGTCTGACAAAGTGAGAGGGAGCACAGGAGTGTCTGAAAATGTAGCCTACTTCATGGAGGTTCAGCTTTGCATGTAAATCAGTGAGAGGAGGAGTGTGTGTGTGTGTGTGTGTGTGTGTGTGTGTGTGTGTGTGTGTGTGTGTGTTACCCACAGGCAGACCTGGAGCATTCACAAAAAAAAAAGGTAATAATCTGAGTGAAATCTATGTTTGTGGAATTGCAGACCTCGCAGATCTCCTCTGTGTGAGGATTAATTTTGTGGCAATTCCGCTCTGTGTGTGAGTCACCCTTGTGAGACAACTGCAATATTGATTGACTGTGTGTGTGTGTGTGTGTGTGTGTGTGTGTGTGTGTGTGTGATGTATGCGCGCATTAGGCTATCACTGCCTGAGTCTTGGCTCACTGTCCCGTGGGCCAGGGGAGCAGATGGCTGGGAGAGCAAAGGATGAAGAGAGGCAGTTTAGAAATGGAAATAGAGGGATGAGAGAGGGCTAATAGTGAGACACTGAGAGAGAGAGAACAAAAGAGGCAGAGAGAAACATCAGCGAGGGTGGAGTTGGGGATGACACTTTTGACTGTAATAACAGCAGTAATATTCATGTTGGATGTAAAATTATAGAAACAAAGAATTCAAACCTTTTCCCCCCATTCAGAGTGCTGTGTTGTTTTTTTCTTTCTCCCCTCGTTGTCGTTTGCATATCATTACCTCTGACATATCAAACACCCAACCTGAGCTGACAAAGAAAGACAGATTGAAGCTGAATAATTCATGCAGGGAAATTACAATTTTCTATCACACCCTTATCTTTGATACGATTTCCCCACAGTAAATGAACAGACTGATGAGCGGAGGAATTGACTCTCACTAAAAACATCTGCTTTGACCTGGTAATAGACCTGCTGATGTTATTGGGAACAAGGGCTTGGTATTTGTGGAGGTATTAATAATAACTTTATTTGCATAGCAGCTCAAAGTGCCACACAAACCATGATTAGTGTGCAGGTTTAAAGCAGAAGCTTATAATTATACATTAAGTTGTGATTAAACCCAAATAATCAAATGTCTCCACATAGGTCTGTGAACATGTGTGATCCATCCTAACCTTTCTCTCTCTCCTGGCCTATTTTTACCTTCGGTCTTCCAGGTGAGCACCTGCGGCTCTGTCCTCAGGACTACACCTGCTGCTCCAGCCAGATGGAGGAGACGCTGGCCCTCCAGAGCGAGAGGGACTTCCTCAGAGCCATTGAAGAGAACAGCCAGTTCCTTTTGACTACTTTCACCCAGAGACACCGCAGGTTTGATGGTGAGACCCAGAAGCTTGTACAATTCTTAATCATGTTTAATGGGAACAATTTCTGGCTTGAAATTAGTAATTAAAAAGAAAAAAAAAAGGGGGGTATATATGAAGAAAATAAACTGCACTCTGCTTCTCCTCTCCTCTCCCTGTCTACAAAGCGAGTGGCGATGAGTGACAGCTGATTAAAAACTTATTTAGGATCTCCGCCTGCACAGTTCCTCTCAGATGGTCAGATATCTGAGCCAGAAAATTGACGGTGGAAGCTAAAAGCACAGCGATGCATACATATTGCAGAGAGCCTAGCATGGTTCTTATTTATGTTTAATCAAAACATAAGAGCTGCTGAAATTAAAGAAGTACTGCACTTTCATAAAGTAAAGACTTTTGAAACGCCACAGCCACAGAAGACATTATAAAAACAGTTTGTACGGGCTAAGTGGGACTAAACATGGCCGGTAAACTCACCTTCACGTATAAAATCGGTGGCCCTTTAAAACAAATGGTCAGTGTGGGAAACCTAGACAGCTTCAGTGACTGCGTTTTTAGAGAACTCAGCCCACGCTGTCTCATATTCTGTATGTATGGCTGCAGGTTTGTAGCAGCCGCAGCAAAGAGAGCTGAATTTACACTTTCCCCTCCTACCTGCTGTGGACTGCTATCACCTTTTTTTTTCTCCCTTCTCATCCTTTTATATAATGTACGCGATGAATCATTTAAAGACGCCAAAGGAGTGGGAGACTGCATGAGTCCTGAAGTCGTAAATAGAGTTCATGTTGTTAGACTCGTTTACCAGCGTGCAGGATCTGATGTAACTGTCCCCATGAGCTGTTAATATTGGAGGGGAGGGGGTGACTGAGCGCCTTTGTACGTAGAAACCTGGCTCAGATGTGAGAAATAAAGAAGGTGGGTGATATTTTAATATATATTAATGTCTAATCTCTGCTTTTCCTGTCTCTCTGCAGAGTTCTTCAGAGAGCTTATAGATTTGTCAGAGAAGTCTATGAACCAGATGTTTACCAAGACCTACGGACGGCTCTTCACCCAGAATGCACACGTCTTCCAGGAGCTGTTTGTGGAGCTGCGCAGATATTATTCTGGTTAGTTTAATCACTTTATCCACCTCACCTTAATCTTATGAGTTCAGATGGTCTGTGCAAAGTGTCGCCGTTTGGGTTGAATTTGCTGTGTAAAACAATGAAATCAGAGGCCAGAAAACCAAATTTCAGGAGACTATTATTCAGGCAAACCTGACTTTTGTAGTCTACGTGACCCTCTACCATCACTATGAGAGAATTAATAAATGCAGATGAGTTTGTCAGTAATGTTGATGATGATTCCTTGTTGCACTGGCAGTTTACTGTAGTTTTACCAGTGCACATCCCTGTCCTGGTGAATCCGCAGACGCTCTGGACAGCAGAACAGCGTCAGTATAGTCTTTGGAGGGGAAGTGAAATGCCAAGAAGAACTGGAGGAAAAAAGAGAGAGAGAGAGAATTGGAATCCCACGGATGACTGTTTCTATTTCTGTTCTGCATCGCTCTGTTTTGGCATGACAGCCGCTCGCTGGCGAGTCTGTCTGCAGGCTGTTGCTGCTTAGTCAACCTGTCTTTGTTTGCCAAACAACATGTATGGCTAATTTCAGGCTGTATAGTAGACTACAGATTGCAAAGTCGCATATTCAGAATCTGTCTGTCAGTTGACTAATGCACAGACACTGATAAGCACCCATTTTATAAAGGAAGAAATAAATATAAAATAAAAAAAATATATAAAACACAATATAGACAATCAGCAGACATCATCAAAGGTGCAAAAAAACATTGTTTTGTGTTGATCTCTCTTGGCTTTTATATTGTCAATATATATTTTTACTCTATTTCCTTACAATATCCTGTGGCAGCTCGCTCATAGCAGAGTGATACTACTGTGCATAAGGTACAACTACTTAGTGATAAAATTATATATAATTGGTACCCTCCCTTATGTCAGTCAAAATGTGTTGGACTGCTGGAAGGACTACTAAATGTGGTCAGCATAGTTAACTACATTTCAGCCATCTCCAAAACCATTGAAGTTAACTTGGTTTATCAATAACTATGTCCACCATTGTGGCCAACAATTACTTTGTATAACACATGTCAGACTAATTTGTTTCATCGTTAACGGTTTTCTTTCTTGACAAACCTTGAAACTGCATATAGTAGGAGCTAATCCACAGTGTGTTTGATGCTTCATCTGCCAGACTTTGCAGTGACCAGATAATGACTGACTTTTTGGTTTAAGGTGAACATACTTAGGTACTTGAATGTTGCAGAGCTGACAATTCCAGCAGTGGCCCCAAGCCAATCTCAGTTTGAGACCCCAGACTTACAGGAACGTGATTTTTGTGCTTACAGTTGCTCTTGTGTCCACAGGGGGCAGTGTAAGTCTGTCAGAGGTTCTCTCAGACTTCTGGTCCAGACTGGTGGAGCGAGTCTTCTCTCTGGTCAACCCCCAGTATCAGTTTAGTGAGGACTATCTGGAATGTGTCAGCAAACACGCCGAGCAGCTGCAACCATTTGGGGACGTGCCCCGCAAACTGCGTGTACAAGTACGTGTCTGATACGTCAACAAGGACAAAATAAATGGCTTTTATACAGCAAAATTGAATTTCCAATTATGCCTGACTGATTATGATTAATTAACTAATCTTATTGTGCTCTGTTTCCTTTTAAATTTAGGTGTCCAGGGCTTTCATTGCAGCCAGAGCTCTATCTCAGGGCCTGGCTACTGGTCGGGATATTGTTAATAAAGCAACAAAGGTGAGTTGTTCCTTGTGCTGTCGTCTGTTCTGGCAAGATTTTATAGAAAGAACTATACCCTTTCTAGCCTAAATATAAGAGTGAGGCCTTGAAATACAGGTTTTCCTGTATATATCCTTTTTATAAATATATATATATAGACTTACTCAAAACATAGTTGGATAGGGCTTCACAACCAAGAAACATAAATGTCTGTGGATTCACCTTATTTGTCTGCCTGCAGATAGTTTATAGAATATTTGTAACATTTGCTTTTCTGTAGATGTTTAACAGATTATCTATCTATATATATATATATATATATATATATCTGTATCTATATGCCTAAACCTAACCAAACCTTTATTTGTGAAAGTTAAACTGCTGAATTGCAACTAATAGCTGTTGAAATGTTACAAATACTATGTAATAGTATAGAATAAATCTGTAGGAAGATTATCCAAATAAAGTGGAACCAGCTTGGTTAATATAACCAGCAGCAAATGAGTGCTTTAG